CCCCCCACCACATGCCCCCCTCTGGCGAGGCTCCGGCAGCGGGAGAAGGTGCCAACGCCACGCCCGCAACCCCCCACATTGGGGCGCGGACCCTTGGGCAGGACAGAACCCCCGCTGCCACCCCGGGGATGCTTTTTCCCACTGGGGGAAATGTCATCTTGTGTCTGCGGGGCCTCGCGCTCGGATGCTCCTTTCTCCGGCTCCCGCCTCGGCTTTGTTCGGCGCATTAACTCAACCAGGCTGGCGGTCTTGAGAATAAACCCCAAACCCTCGGAGCAGCTCCGGTTCCCAGCCTCGGTGCTGCTGGCTGGAGGAAAAGCATCATCCAGGCTGGGAAACGGGGAGCCTGAGGTGGAGGCAGGCGGCGGGGCTGTTGGCGGGGTTGCATCCCACCAGGGGTAGCCTGTTAAGGTCAAGATCTACAGCTTTCATTTCTGGAGCTAGAAAAACAAAATGCAAATTGAAGAGCCTGTAGGCTAATGCAAAACCTATTCTTAAAGTTTTTGTCTTGTTAAGCAAGGAAATAGAGTGCCAAATAGGCTTTGTTAAGTGGCAGTCTAATTAATAATTTAAAATCTTGTAGCTGTCTTTCATTAGAATTTATCTGTACATCAACCACAAAATCAGTCAAACACACTCATTTATAAGTTAATGCCATTCCTGAATAATTCAACAGGCAGTTAGAGGAGGCCTCCATCCCAGCAAGAGGCTCTCCCCTCCCCGTCTCGCCGTGGCCAGGTGTCCCTGGGCAGGGGGTCCCGGTCCCCACCATTTGCCCCAAGTGGGGTGCGGAGGGGACAGCCCATGCGGGGGGGCGAGGGGAGACGGGGGGAGCTGCCGCCGGGGCGCCGGGCTGGGGCCAAACCCCTCGGTGGGGCTCAGGGCCAGCTGGCTTTGTCGAGGGATGTGGCAGCGTGAGGCTGTGCTGGGGGGAGGCAGCACAGGCTGATGGTGGCACTGCCACCGCCTTCCCCGTCCCGCTGCTGGGGACCGGGGTTGGGCTTGGGGCTGGGCGATGTGGCAGGGCTTGGAGGACCCACAGGCGATGTCCCCGGGGGAGGCAGCTCTGCGTGCCCACTGCTCGCGGGGGGACGGCTTTGTGCACGGTACCACGCGAGGCAAAGGTGTTTTGCTGCCGGAGGTTTGCAGCAAGGACAGGCAGCAGCGGCGTGGCCAGGGCAGCGCTGCGATGCCCAGGGGCATTTTGGGCCTCCTGCGCCCCGTGAGCTCCAGCCGCGGAGGCACCGGGCACCACTGGTGGGATTCGGGGTGGATTTTGGGCACTGGGACCTCATTGTCAGTGTGGCAGTGGGTGACAGCACGGGATGCAGCTCCAGCCTGGGTGAGGGTGTCGGCGGGGCCGGCGCTGCGCCGTGCACCCTGCCGGAGGTGGCCACAGGCAGGAGTGCAACGCTGGCAACGCAGGAGAAAGAGATTTCCAGGTCAAGGATAACACCAAGGTCATGGGCAGCCACGTCCCTGTCCCTGCCATCGCTCAGCCCATCGACGGGGCGTCCAGCCCCCATCCCTCCCTGCAGGGGAGCAGCTGGCAGGCGGGGTGCGGACGCAGGCTGGGCTGCGGTTCCTGCGCCGGGGAGCTGAGAGCCCAGAAACCTTTCTGCTTATAAAAGTTTAATTTCCTAAAGAGCTGAGAGGAAGCCACAAGCTCTCTGTGCCCGGCGAAGCAAGGGGGGTGGCTGGGCAGGGGGTCAGGATGCGGCCCAGGCTGTCCCTGTGGCGGTGCCGGGGGGGCGGGAAACGAGGTGGGCTCGGGCAAGCGAGACCTGCC